CGTCCTCGAACAACATGATGGCGTGGATTGGCACCCGGTCGAATACTTCAGCAAGAAAGTGTCGGTCGTGCATTCAATCGATGACGCACGCAAGAAGGAACTTCTCGCCTTCATCCACGCACTCAAGCGGTGGCGGCACTTCCTCCTTGGTCGACGCCAATTCTGATGTATAACGGACAACAATCCGTTGGTCTTTTACAAGACCCAAGACACCGTCAACAGCACGATCGCCCGTTGGATGGCTTTCATCGACCAATTCGACTTCTTTCCCGACCATATTCCAAGGAAGTCAAACCGTTTTGCGGATGCTCTTTCACGGCGTCCGGATCACTGCACCGCTTTCTACTCGACCTTCAAGATAGAGGATGACTTGCGGGACAGTTTCATCCGCGGCTATCAAGCCGACCCCGAATTACGCGACAAGTACGCAAATTGTTCCTCTCCCAATCCGCACTATTGGATCCAAGAGGGATACTTGCTCGTTCACTTGCGGGGTAAGGATCTACTTTGTGCGCCGCAAGATTCACACTTGCGCACGAGGCTTCTTGGCGAGTTCCACGACGCCCCCGCCACCGGACACTTTGGAGTCAATCGCACGATTGGCCGACTCCGCGAGCGCTTTTGGTGGCCCGGTCTTCTCGATGACGTCACGCGCTATTGCGAGTCATGCGAGGTTTGTCGACGTTGCAAACCCCGCAATCATCATCTGTATGGCGAATTGCGACCATTACCGGTCCCCTTGTGCCGAAGGGAAGCGATTGCCATGGACATTACCGGGCGGTTCCCCAAACACAAGACGGGTGTGGATGGGATTCTCACGGTGGTTGACCGACTCACCAAGTTTGCCATGTTTTTGCCTTGCCGCTATCATGCCAAGGCACCGAAGTTGACCGAGGTCCTCTACGCCGGTTGGATTCGAACCAAGGGTGATTGTTTGCGACCGTGACACTTGGTTCATGTCCGATTTTTGGTTGGCGCTCATCAAACGATGGGGCTCATCCCTCAAGCCGAGTTCGGCTCGCCACCCCCAAGCCGACGGCCAAACAGAGAGGGCACATCAGACCGCACAGGTCCTTCTTCGCACTCTCATTCGTCCCAACCAAAAGGATTGGGTCGAGCGGCTGCCGGATATCGAGTTGGCATACAACTCGTCCATCCATCCGATTATCGGGATGCCGCCCTTTGAGTTCGAGCATGGCTCACCGGTCAATTCTCCGTTGGACACAATCATCCCACGGGCGGCCGAGAGCGACGACCATCTTCTCTTCATTCGTCGGGTGCAAGAGCTCCTTGTCAAGGCACGCGACCAGATGTCAAAGACGCAGCAACATATGCGCCAACAGGCCAACCGCCAGCGTCTTCCTTGTCCGTTCCGCGCCGGCGACCTCGTATGGGTTTCCGCTGCAGAATTCAGCCTCGAACAAGACATCTCTGGCAAGCTCCTTCCGGAATGGATGGGGCCTTGGCCGATCATGGCACCCGCTGGGGACGCACCCGAAGGACCTTCATTCATCATTCAGGTGCCCGCCCACTTGCCCGTCAACCCGGTCTTTCACTGTTCCAAGTTGGCTCTCTACATGCCAGCTGAACTTGACGACTTTCTCGGGCGACGATCGCAAGACCCACCCTCGATGGACGGTTTCCAAGAGGTTGGCGACATCATATCCCAGCGACGTTAGGCAACAGGCCGACCGAATTCTTGGTCCATTTTGCATATTGCACCCATAGAGCTGACAGATGGTTGACCCGTGCGGAACTTCAAGCAACAGCTCCCGATGTCCTCGCACGCTACGAACGCAAGTTGCAAGGCAAGCCGGCATCTTCGGTTCCACGCCGCACCCGCATCCAAGTTCCACCTTCAGATCGTCAGCTTCGCCCTCGACCCGGCTTGACTTCATAAGGAGGGGGGGGTGTTGCATGCTGCGCCTGCACACGGACCCCATTTGAGGGGCCCGACGGTTGCTGAGGGGCCCCCAGGCCGCGTACCATACAGCACGCGCCCTGGAGGCGACCCTTCAGGCCCTAGGTAGCACACTAGTTAGATAGGTTTAGTCTACTTACCTTTGTGTGTGTGTGTGTTGTCTTACTTTGTCTGTTCAGGTGCCATTTCGGACTTGCAGCCCCAAGGCCGGACCATGGGACTGGGTACACCGGAGGCAGGCCCGAAACGAGGCCAGGTGCATTTTGGCGCCACACCGGTAGGTACAGGCGTCGTTTCGGTCCGGCAGGTCCCAAGGCGACGCCTTGGGCTAGGTGCACAGGTACCGGGCCATTTTTAGGCCAGGCGCATTTCTGTGCCTTGCTGCATCAGCAGCATGGTCTGGACGTCCGGTAGGGACCCAGACCAGCTGGGTCGTTTATGAGGCCAGCAGTAGGTAGGCCCAGCCCGCCCAGCGGTACAAATAGCTGGGCAGCGGCTGGGCATGAAACAGTTTGAGTATCTCGCTTCTGGAGCGACACGCTGCCGGTTGGAGGCAGCGTTATTCTGCGCCAAGCTACGGAGTAGGGAGTAGCGGAGTAGGTAGTAGAGAGGGCAGAGGCCTTACCTGCAAGCGAAAAACTTACCTGGCGCCATTGCTGGGCCCCGCGTGGTACCTGCACACGACGACGACCACAGTCAGTACGGTGACAGCTACCTGCAGGTGAGATAGCAAGGAGGACGTCATCTTCTTCTTCTTCCTCCATCTCTCTCTCTCCTTTCTCCTTCTTCCTCCTCTTTCTTACCTTCTTCTTCATCTACGAGAGTGAGGGAGATCAGCGGTAGGGAATACAAGCAAAGGTTATGTTGGGCACATTGCCCAGGATCTGATTCGACATTTTTGGGACAGACATTGATTGGACACTTGGCAAGGGACTATTTTCGGGACTTCGCTATCGTGATCTTGGTCTACTCCCTCGCCTCCTTCTCCTTCATCTCGTCCCTTCCCCCCATCTCTCATCCGTGGTATCTCCCCATGTATGTGTATGACGGAGGGACCTTTCTTCTCTGATTGTGGTCCCTCCTCCCCTCTTGCATGTGTGATGTATGATGGATGTTGGGTCAGTCTAGATCAGATCAGATCTTCTCTTTAAGTCTTCCACTGCGCCACTTTGTGCCATCTTCTATGTATCGGAATGTACATTGCTTGTTGATGCAATGCTGACCTTGCATTGTCCATTTCAGTCCTTTTCATCACATTGTGGATCGTTGGCTCCCTACGCATTGTCCCAATGGGCATGCGTCACCGCAGCAGAAGCCGCAGCAGCCGCATGGTTGCAACAGCAGCAGGTCGAGGCAAGTCAAAACCAAGCTCGTTACCAAGCCACGATGGAACTTGCTAGAGACGAAGCCACGTACGGCAGGCTACTTCGACGACAACATTTCCAAGCAACCGAAGAACAGGAAGAGCCGACCGAGGAAGAAAGCGACAAGGAAGTTACAGCAGTATTGATGGAAAACCTGCTATACACTTGCAACTGGCAGCAACGCGAACTGCTGGCCATGCGGCAAATCTTCATCCGCTACGAAGCAACGTTTCGGACGCAGGAACAGAAGATCACCGCCTTCCAAAACGCGAACAGCCAGCAGCAGGCCATGAACGACCAGCTGCAGACCGATGTCAGCACAGGGTTGACACAATTGTCGGCAGTTGAGTCATCGGGCAGTGCAGTAGCAGACTGCAGCCCAACATTGGCCGCACAGGCCAAGCAACTCGAGGAGCGGATCAACCACGTGGTAGCATCCCTCGGCGACATCAGCAAGTTTGCTGGAGCATCGACAGTCAGCAATCAACTGCAGACGCTCAGCGACCGTGTTCAGCAACGACCGGCCGCTGTCGCCAAGGAATGGAAGATGCCGAATTGCGAGACCGAGAAGTTCGATGACTATCACAAGACTGATCCACTGCAATGGTGGATGGCTTTCAACGCGGAGGCGGATGTACATCACACTCCATAACTACGGTGGCTTGACGCACTCTACCTCCAACTCATCGGAGGGGCGCAGGCTTTCACGACCCACAAGGCCGTCACGTTGGAAGGCACCATCACCACCCTCCACACCAAGATTACGTGGGAGGAATTCGAGAAGAACTGGAGGACCCGGTTCATGGTCAACAACGACAAGCGTCATGCCTTGAACAAGATCTTCCACATGTTTCAAGGCCAGCAACCTTCACTGGAGTGGCTGACAGAGTGGCAGAAACTCGTCGCCACCCCGGAGTTGAGCTTACCGTTCGACGCAGTCCCGGCCGAATTTTTCGCTCGGTCATGCGATGCCTTGACAGCTGCGCTGGGCAGAGAATTCCAGTATGAGACCTTTGATGACATGATCTCAAAGGCAAGAGAACTAATCCAAGGTAACCGGCGCGCGGCCAACGAGGCCCGCCAACAACCCGGTTATGTGGAGAAAGGCAAAGGTCAATGGACGCCGCAAGTAGCAGCAGTCCATCAAGGACCTAGTGAGGACCATGCAGCCGCGTCTACATCAAGTGACGGAGATGTGGCGGCAGCGATACCACCGCGACGCTCAAGACACCGAGGGGGAAAACAGAAGGCGAAACCAGCGTCGGCGGATGGAGCACGACAGACACCATGGACAAAATTCGGTATCACTGAAGACATGTTCAAGCTGAGGCAGAAATGGGGATGCTGTTTTTGGTGCAACAGCACCAAACACATCACTAGCGCATGCGTCGACAAGGACAAGGAAAATGTCAAGCGTCCAAGCTCGGGAAACTGAGCACCGCGGGAAGTGCAGCGACATCACTTCCCAATCCGCCGGAGTCGGTTGTCTTGCTAGCAGTCTCTCTCACATCCGGGGATGACGCGGTAGTTGCAAGTTCTCGCATTGATTTTGAGAACTATGTTGTCGAGTTGGTCCCACCGTTGAACCAGCCTCTCCACGTGCAAGATTCAAGCGCATGTGCGGTAGTTCCGTCGCCGGCCAACGAACCGGTTGCTTTGCCAGCCTTTCTATCGGAGGATCCGTCAACTTGGGCGAGTCTTGAGGAACTCGACCCGTTGACGGTTGAGGACTTCCAATTGTTGCCTCTTCCCTCCACTGGTTCTTTGCCAAACACCGCATTGCAATGCCTTAATGGCACATTTGCGCGAGTACTTGCACGTTGCAGTACCACCTCCGTCGACGGATGGCGGAGTAGCAGTTATTGATCTTTGTAACTATCTCGCGAAGATCGACCGCGAGTACGCAACGCAACGGTACGTCGACATCGACGCGCCGCTCCTCTACATCCGCATTCAAATCGGAAAGGCGACCTGCAGTGCCTTGAATGATTGTGGAGCGACTCACAACTACATCAGCCAAGACTTTATGGCACGCGCCGGGCTAGGCCCGCGCGTTCGAAGGAAAAGTCAGCCTACGCACGTCACGTTGGCTGATGGTCACACGCAAAAGTCAATCGACCGTTGCGTTGACTCCGTGCCCGTGTACTTTGCCCCGCTAGCATGCAAGGTCGTGTCATTCGACATATTGGACACTAACTTCGATATGATCTTAGGCATGTCGTGGCTGCAAAGCGAAGACCATCCATTGAACTTCTATCGACGCACCGTTCACGTTCGTGATCGGCGTGACGAACTAGTCCCGTGTACGGTGCCGCTTCCTCATCCTTCGATTGGTTGTCACGTGGTCTCCGCGGCGAGCATTCGCCAATCCATCTGGCGGAATGACATCGAGGAGATGGGCATATGTTTTCTTCACGCCCTCCCACCCGGTGATCAGCCCAAGACGGACACATCGGACCCACGCATCATTGAGCTTTTGGACAGCTATGAGGATGTCTTCCAAGCTCCCGCCAGAGTCATACCGGATCGGCCCATACGCCACGGGATCACTATCGAGTACGGCGCCGTACCTCCGCGCGGATGTATCTACCGCATGAGCGAAGTGGAGCTTCAAGTGCTTCGGGCACAACTAGACGACCTCTTGGCCAAGGGCTGGATTCGCACTAGTTGTTCGCCATACGGTGCTCCCGTTCTCTTCGTCCGGAAGAAGAACAAGGACCTTCGTTTGTGCATCGACTATCGGAAACTTAACGCGCAAACAATCAAGTACGCCGGCCGTCTCCCTCGGATCGATGATCTTCTCGAGCGGCTAGGCGGCGCCCAGTACTTCTCGAAGCTTGACCTCAAGTCCGGATATCACCAGATCGAGATCCAGCCAAGAGATCGGTACAAAACCGCATTCAAGATGCGGTATGGGCACTTTGAGTGGATCGTCATGCCTTTCGGTCTCACCAATGCCCGACTACTTTCCAAGCGGCTATGACGACGGAATTCCACGACCTGCTCGACCGCACCGTACTCATTTACCGTGATGATATCTTGGTTTATAGCCGGACGCTGGACGAGCACCTCGAGTACCTTCGCTCCGTTTTGGAGCGGCTCCGTATCGCTAAGTACAATGCGAACCGCGACAAGTGCGAGTTTGCCCAGCAAGAGCTGGAGTACTTAGGCCATTACATCACGCGGCAAGGCATTCGTCCGCTCGCGGACAAGGTACAAGCCATTCAAGATTGACCGGACCTCAAGTGTACTACCGACGTCCGCTCCTTTCTTGGCTTAGCATCATATTACATGCACTTCGTCAAAGGGTTTCAATGGATCGCTGCACCATTGTTGCGACTTCAGTCCCCCTTGGTGCCCTTCGAGTTCAACGACGAAGCCCGGCACGCGTTCCATACGCCGAAGACGGCTTTGCTCCAAGCTCCCGTCTTAAGCATCTATGACCCAACCTTGCCTACCAAAGTGACTACAAACGCTTCTGGCTGCGGAATTGGCGTGGTTTTGGAACAGCATGACGACACAGACTGGCATCCGGTTGAGTACTTCAGCCAAAAGGTGCCACCCATCAACACTCTTGATGATGTGAGGAAGAAGGAACTGCTAGCTTTTGTCACCGTACTTAAGCGCTGGCATCACTTTCTCCTTAGGCGTTGGCATTTCATGTGGGCAACGAACAACAATCCGTTGACTTATTACAAGACGCAAGACACGGTGAGCAGCACGATCGGTCGGTGGATGTACTTCATTGACCAGTTCGACTTCACCTCCAAGCATATCCCAGGCTCCTTGAACAAGGCAGCGGATGCTCTCTCGCGAAAACCCGATCTTTGCGCTTTGGTGCACTCCACATTCGGCCTCGACGAGAATCTGCAATAGCATTTCGTAAACGGCTACAAGTCGGATCCGGGATTCTCCACACTCTATGCGGACTTATCATCGGATCACCCGCCGGCAAGCAATTATCGCATTGTCGACGGCTACTTGCTTCTCCATACACGAGGCAAGGACTTGTTGTGTGTTCCCCAAGACCGCATCTTGCGCACTCGCCTCCTTGGCGAATACCACGATTCGCGGTTGGCGGGAGCCTTGGCGTCGCACGCACTCTTGCACGACTCCGCCAGCGATTTCACTGGCCGGATATCATCAGCGACGTCAATCGGTACATTCAGCCATGTGCAGTTTGCCACCGGCACAAAGGACACCATCAGCTCCCGTACGGCGAACTGAAACCATTGTCGATTCCTCGGGAACCAGGTCTCTCCATTGCTATGGATGTGACCGGTTCTTTCCCTCGCGATCGCCTTGGCCATGATGGTATTCTCACGGTCGTCGACCGTTTGAGCAAGTATGCTCGATTTCTTCCATGCAAGTAGCACATGCAAGTAGCATGTGACGGCTCCCGAGCTCGCACGACTTTTGCATACCGGCTGGTTTTGCAGTCACGGCATTCCGGAAGACATCGTCAGTGACCGCGACACTCGCTTCATGTCAGCCTGTTGGACGACACTCATGGTGGAATCCGGCACCAGCATGAAACCGAGTTCCGCATGGCATCCTCAAACGGATGGGCAAACGGAACGTGCGCACCAGACTGCGTAGATGATGCTCCGCACACTCATCCGCCCGGATCAGAAGGGCTGGGTTGACCGCCTTCCCGATGTTGAATTCCCCTACAACACTTCGGTGCACCCGGCGATTGGCGTGACTCCTTTCGAGTTGCATCACGGTGGACGGAAAAGACGTATCTTCGCAGACATTTTGCTTCCACGGGCTGCCGATATCGACGCTGCTTGCTCCCCCGCTTCTACACAGAAGTACAGGGAACTGCTGGCCAAAGCCCGCGCAAACATGCAAAAGGCTCAGGTCCGTATGCAGCAGCAAGCGAACCGGCGTCACATCCCATGTCCAATCTGCGCCGGCGACCTAGTTTGGGTCACCTCCGAGGAATTCGCGCTCGAGCAGCACGTCTCGCGCAAGCTCCTCCCTAAGTGGTTTGGACCATGGAAGGTCACTTCAGCAGCTGGCAACGATCCCGAGAGTCCATCTTTCATCATTGAGATTCCCCCGCATTTGACGGTCCACCCGATATTTCATGCTTCAAAGCTGGCAGTCTACACTCCAGCCTCCGCAGCGGACTTCCCGGGCAGACGGTCACAGGACCCTCCTTCAATGGATGGTCACCAGGAGGTCGACCGCGTTCTCACTCATTGCAAGCATGACAACAAGCCAATGCAGTACAAAGTTTCATTTAAGCAATGCGATCCTGATGACACACGCTGGATTTCACAAGCTGACCTGAAGGCGACAACACTCCTCATCTTCGCGCATTACGAAAACAGCGACTTGCTAAGGAAGCTGCCCAACCTGTCCGCCCCGTACGGACATCGGACAGACAGCTTCGCCCTCGCAGTTAGCTCGGTCTTCAAGGGGGGGAGTGTGTGGCATTCTGAGCCACACGGGCCACAGTTAGGGCCCGGTTCCAGGTAGGCAGGGTAGGCCTAAGGGGACGACGGTTCAGATGAGGCCCAGGTAGGCCTAAGGGACGGCAGTTCAGACAGGCCAGGGGTAGAGGCCCAGGCCAGTGGCCACAAGGCCGGTACCGGTCCAGCATAGGACCTACCGGCGGCACAGTTTCAGAGGCTGCCGCGTTTAGGCGCCAAATCCGGTTCGAATCTGGACCGTCGATCATATCAACGGTCCAGGCCGGTAGGTACCAGCAGGTAGGAGGCCGGCCCAGCACTACAAAAGGCTGGGTACCAGCCTCAGTAGGGAGGTTAGAAGGTTGGGTTAGTCTTCAGGATTAGCGCAGCATTGTAGCGTTAGTGAGATTAGCGCAGCGCAGCATAGCGCGAACAGCGAGGCGAGAGCAAGACAGCGGCAAGGAGGAACCAGCGCAGCCGGGACAGCGCCAGCCACCTGCAGCACCATAGCTACCGGGCCAGGTACCAGGGAGGAAGGCCTCGCCTTCTCTCCCTCTTCCTCCTCCGCCACTCTCTCTCTCTCTCCCTCTCTCCTCCTACCTTCTCAGTCTAAGTCTACTCCTGGGTTCTCCTACAGGGCTACTATGAGTATGAAGGATTGTTACGAGTTCTGATGACATTGGGGACAGCGACATTGGGACTATAGGTTGAGGACTACTTGGGGGATCTGGTTTCATCTTCCTCTGGAGATGTACTTGACATTGTGAGATCGATATCTGAGACATTGTGAGACATTGTATTCGCGACATTTCGGATTTTCGCCGCCTCTGACATTTCAAGATACTATCTTTGGAAACATTGAGTTGACGTCATCTTCCCTCTCCTCCTCCCTTCGTCTCTCTCCTCCCTCCATTCGTTCGTGGATGATCTCAGACCCTGGCCTTCGTCTATGTCCACGGCCAGGGCTTTCACACCCCTGATGTATGGTTGAGAGTTTCCGATTGCAGTCCGAGTCAGGTCAGGGTCAGTCCATGTATCTCAAGTCTTCCGCTTGCAATTGGTATCAACTCTGTATTATCTGGTCGGTTCTGGGAATCTGCGCCATACTTATGACTGTGTTTCACGAGTATGCAACACCACCATACACCTGCTACCTTCTCCTCGTACATTTATTATATTTTGTATAAAGTCTGTAATAGACGTAGCTTGAATCAATTCCGGCTGGCCGAGTATGGAAGGTTTGGGGGGGCGGGGGGGTATAGGGGAAGGGGTTCGCAGGAGGCAAGCACGGAGGGAAGGGGAGGGGGTGCTGGGCCCGACAGGACTGAGGGACTTGGGGTTAAAAGGTAGGGGCAGGAGACTGTGTGTTAGAGGGGTTGGATATGGTGGATGGGGCAAAGTACAAAGTTCTACCAGCGACCCGTACTGCAGTCATTTAGCAGTGTGGAGAAATGCTCCGCAGATCTGAAATTCCATTGTGATTCAGTTGCCACCCAGTTTTCCCAGACCAACTCCCCCGTTTCATTCATGTGAGCCATCTTCCGATGGTGGTCAAGCCATACTTCTTGGAAGTCTTCGAGTGCCTGCGTCCACACTAGCTGGTCTGAGGTAGTTGCTAAGTTTTCCTTCATTTTTTTGTTTGCTTTGACAATGTTGGCTCTGATGAATTCAACGAGTTCTGCTTTTGCCTGAGGAAGATCAAAAGTATGTTCTTGTCGTTCTGCAGGCACAACTCATCCTCCAAATGATCATGCGGATGGCCAGACAGGTGAATTTGAATAAATTAGTCTGAAAAGGTGCCCAGTCTTGGGGGTAGTGTTTTAGTTTCCCCAACAATATAAGGCGGATGTCCCACTGGAACCGTTGGTGTGTAAGGTAGTGCCACACGGCATCCCACCAGACCTGCAGCGTCAGGGGCCATGCGAGGAGACAATGTTCCAAGTCTGTGCCCAAGGCCCATACTGCGCACAGATTGGGGATAAGAATCCTTCTCTGTTCTAGATTTGAGTTACAGGTTAACCAGTCCAGTGTTGGTAAGCATCTTTGGAGGATTTGCCACTGGATATGTGTGTGTATGTTGTCCATGGGACGGTCTCAAAGTCAGCGGCTATAAGCAGTGAGTCGCGCTTCCATCTGTGTTGGACGTGCGGGGTGGAGGAGTGGCACTGGTGCACCTGCGTATAACCCTCTTTCACATTGTATTGCCATATAGGTACTGGATTAGCTCCCGGCCACTCCCCCTCCTCAGGGTCAAAGGGGAGCGCACAAACAGGGAGGGACATTTCGTATGCAAAGAAACCATCGTCAGGGGCCTTCCAGTGGATGCAAGCGGTCTAGATCATTGTTCCTGACCAAGAAGTCCATCCTGCTCCTGGTGTTTGAAGTTCATAGGTTAGTAGCTCTGCTTCTTGGTCTATAATTTTGGCGACGTTATATAGCACCAATGAGATATAAGCCTCATCCTGCTGGGCAAGTAGACGAATTTCCGAGATCGTCGTCAAACTTTCAACACAACCTCTTTAAACATACACGGCTGGCCATCCTTATGGCCATATGGAGGATGAGATGCTCATCAGACCATAAC